TGGTACCAATATTACATGAGATCCTAAAGAATATATGAAAAAATATTTTAAAAAATGTGCGTGAATATTCTCACCTCTGTTCTTGACTGTACCTGGTCTTTGGTTCCTGTGGTAACGTGCTGAGATTGGTGCGAACTGTTTGCAAAATAAATGGTTTATGAGGTCTTGTTTCGAATGCCTAAGCTCTGGGATTTTACCATCCTTGCTCTTTTAAACCACATGTATTGTGGTATACATACATTCAAGGTTCAAGGTTCTTTATCTGTCACATGCATAGTTATACAAGTATAACACACAGGGAAATGTAGCCTGACACGCTCCTCGACATGTGCAAAAATTGGGGGGGGGGGGGGGGGGGGGGGGGGTAGAGGAAGAACATTATATATATATATATATAAAATGCTGAGGATTTTCTATGAGTCTGTTGTGGCCAGTGCGATCCTCTATGCTGTTGCATGCTGGGGGAGCAGGCTGAGGGTCGCAGATGCCAACAGACTTAATAAACTGATCCGTAAGGCCAGCGATGTTGTGGGGATGGAGCTGGACTCCCTCAAGGTGGTGTCGGAGAGGCGGATGCTGTCCAAGATAAAGACAATGTTGGATAACACCTCCCACCCACTCCATGACATGTTGGTCAGTCACAGGAGCTCGTTCAGTGAGAGACTGAGATTACCAAAAAGCACCACTGAACGACACAGGAAATCATTCCTGCCTGTGGCCATCTCCCTGTACAACGCATCCACTTAACACACTGGTTACTGCTACAGCTACACATGTTTCTTTTCCAACTATTTATTTATAAGTGACTTATGTATGTATGTATGTATATATATGTATATATTGTACTATTCTTAGTTAGCGTATTGTCTGTCTTGTCTTAATGTTGGTTTAAAATGGTGCACTGTAACAAAAAATAATTTCCCCCAGGGATCAATAAAGTATTCTGATTCTGATTCTGATATATATATATATAATATGTACATTGGGTGAATGTGCAGTAGTAGCAGCAAGCAGGTGAATTCTGTACATTAATATGAATAGACATCTGACTATTTTACAGGATAGACAATATAAACATATTTAAAATTTAAGGAATTTGAAATGTACATTGTGCCTGGGTTTAGAGTGTCTGGAAGAGAGTCCTGTCTCAGTCAGTTAAAGATGATGTGAGAGGGCCGGTGTGTGTGTTTAGGGCCCGGATGGCTTGGCGATAGAAGCTCCTCTTGAGTCTCTCTGTCCTTGCCCAGATGATGTGGAACCTTCTACCAGATTGCAGAAGTTGGAACAGTTTGTTGCCAGGATGGGACGGGTCCTTCAGTATCTGCGCTGCTCTAGTCCAGCATCTCCTGGTGTAGGTGTCCTGAAGCGGGGGGAGAGCAATCCTGCAGCAGCGTTCTGCTGTACGGATCACTCTCTGGAGAGCTTTTTGGTCCTTCACACAGCTGTTCCCAAACCACGATGTCATGTTCTGTGTGAGGATGCTCTCCACAGCGCCTGTATAGAAAATCCTGAGGATCTTTGGAGAGACCCTGAACTTCCTCAGTTGCCGAAGGTGATACAGGCGCTGCCTAGCCTTTTTGGTCTGGACCTGAATGTGGGCAGACCATGTCAGGTCTGAGGAGATACGGACACCGAGATACTTGAAGGACTGCACCCTCTCCACTGGAGCTCCATTGATGATAATGGGCTTGTAGTCTCTGTGCTGACCCCTTCTGAAGTCCACCACCAGCTCCTTGGTCTTGCCGATGTTCAGCTGGAGGTGGTTGTCCTGGCACCACGATGCCAGATTCTTCACTTCATCCATGTAGGCCGCCTCATCGTTGTTGGAGATGGCACCCAACACCACTGTGTCGTCTGCAAACTTCACAATGGTGTTGGAGCCATGGGTGGCCACACAGTCTGAAGTGTAGAGGGAGTAGAGCAGTGGCGAGAGGACACATCCCTGAGGTGCTCCTGTGTTGATGGTAGCAGGCTTTATATTTTATAATTATTATAGATGTTTTAAGGCTGTAATACCCCTCACTAAATGCTTTATACACTTTTCTCAGACAGGCATGAATATTTTCATTACTTTTAAACACTCTCAAAAGTTCAAACCATCGTAGAAAAATAAGTCCAGAAATAGAATGAAACTAAAGATCAAACCCTTTTTTCAGGTTTAGAACATAGGAATAGAGCAGCTGCCAGAGAATTCAACATTTATGAATCAATCGTACGAAGTAGGGGAAGCAAGAAGAATGAGCTGAGTAAAGTTTAACTTATCTGACTGTTTTGTTTCGCTTAATGCACCTTATAATCCGGCGAGCTTTATAATCTGAAAAATACAGTAACTTCTACCTTTCTTTAGCATGTCCAGATGTCCAACTTTTTGTGCGATGGTTAGCATCTTCCTCAGCCTTTTGGGTGCTACCACAGATTCCTTTGACTGCAAAACGTTTCGTCAACATTGTTGTTTGTTGGGGGGAAAACTTACAGTAAAACACTTCAGAGTCACACTGCTAGTGATCGAAGATTAATGGGAATTTGACAAGCTGAATGCATTCTGTACTGTACAGGAGACACGGCACGAGACTGATTGACAGTGGTCTACAGCCAATGAGGAAGCAGAACACTATGCGCTGTTTAAAAAAAACATGCAAAATTGAGGCCACGAATGGTGAACAGCAGGTAATGTTATAGCGTTACCTGCTCTAAAGCACACATTCAGTGTTGTGGACCATGATATTTTATTATAGCAACTAGAGCATGTTGTAGGTATTAAAGGTACTGTGCTGCAGTGCTTTAAACGATATCTATTTAGTAGACTCTACTTTTTTAATGTAAATCAAAAGTCCTCTTCACACACTTAGATGTTGTGTGGCTGTCCTGGCACACCCAAGAGCACAGCTGGCTCATTCAGCACTCAGCCAGATAACCAGGCAGTGTTAATCAGGCTCTACAACAGTTACAGGTGTTCTCGTCCTACTATCCATTTTATTGGTTTATTAAGCAGTGTAGTGACTTATTTGCTTGCTTCTGGGTGTGGTGGGGAGTCTTGTTGCATTAATACTGGCACTTGGATTTAGCTATTAGCTTAAGCTACTGTTATTTCTAAGACCTGAAAGCTGCCAGTCATTGCCTCCATCAAGCGGTTGGTGTTTAAGTGCTTTGGTCCAGTCAAGTTGAGGAAACGCCTACAGCAGCTCAGTTTTTGCTCGTTTCCTGTTGACGTCCACTTTACTAACAAGCAGCATTAAAAGGTATTGATACTGCTATCACTGGTGGACTTGGGGGATCTTAAAAGTCCTCTATAATTAAATCTCAGTGTGTTCAGGCAGCAGCTGGTGGATTTGAGTAACAAACTCAAGTACATGTCGTTTTTCATCTTTAGACCCATGATTAGTGTCAAGTTTGTGCTGCCATTGGTTTTTCAGTAGAACATCCAAGGCACACATCCAGCCTCTGAGAGGAAAAGCATCAGTTACTGCCATAATTTACTTAATCTGTATCTAGTTATTTGCTTTTTGCATGTTTTAAACAAATATAACAGTAAAAAAAAAAAATACCTTTTTATAACAAACCAAATCTGAAATCAGAAATGATTGCTTTGTTTTTTGTTATTGAATGTGGTGTAATTTTAAAGACCTGACTTCCAACATCAAGTCTATCTACATAAGTCCACCACACCAAAATAACCAAAAAACAACAACACATCAGACTAGCATGCTAGCTAAACTCTACCACTCCCCATATGATGAATGACCTCAGCTGTACTTCATTTATTCAACAGACAAACAGAAAAACAGAAAAAACTGAAGTAAAAAAAATTAAATCTGATGTGGCAAATATATGTTAGCTTATATTGACACTAGCTAACCAGGAATTGGTTTATAAAACACATACTGTCACTGCTAATGAGCTGATAACATTATAGTGTAATGTAAAATTAATAATTGGATTAACAAAAACAAATGCTGCATAAAAATCAACACACCATAGTTTACAACACTACAAAGGACATGTTTGTGATGCCCTTGCAGAGCAAAACCACTGACGTAGTAACAATACCTGTAAAAAATTTCACTGCCACTTGGCCAGGAGTGGACGAGTGCTTGCAGACGAGTCCTCATCTTTCATACAAATATGGAGGTTTCCACCAGTATATCTAAGACCGGTGTAGCTCAGACATGTGACGCTTAACAAACAGAGTTCATTTCAAAGGATTGTAAAATAGCTGAAATGTGTAAAATGTTATAACACAGAATATATCAGTACTTTTAACACATTTGCTTTATTAATAATAGCCTAATAAAAATATGAACATTTACAAATTTACAGTTTCTAACCTGAGTATATGAGACAATAGGAGAAACCTACAGCCAGTATATATAAATGAACTGCAGCTAAACTCTGATTATCATTTACATTATGTGTGGACATACTAATATATTGTATATACAGTTTGTATATAAGGAGTTTTTTAAGCGGTCTTTTTCTTGAACGGCCCCGTTGCGGTATGTTAAATACCCCAATTCTTTCATCTGTGGCGATCGTGGCTCAAGAGTTCGCCTTGTAATCAGAAAGTTGCCGGTTCGAGCCCCGGCTTGGACAGTCTCGGTCGTTGTGTCCTTGGGCAAGACACTTCACCCGTTGCCTACTGGTGGTGGTCAGAGGGCCCGGTGGCGCCAGTGTTCGGCAGCCTCGCCAGGGTGGCTGTGGCTACACTGTAGCTTGCCATCACCAGTGTGTGAATGTGTGGATGACTGGTTGCGAAAAGCGCTTTGGGGTCCTTAGGGGCTAGAAAAGCGCTATACAAATACAGGCCCTTTACCATTTACCATCTTTGGGCTGAAGGAGAAACAACACTCGGTGTATAAATGGTGTATAAATGCTCAATCAAAAATCTCTTTATTCTATACAATTCTTTCTATACAACACTTTGAGCATTACCGATGTCCAGACGGGAGATGTGCACAGGAGGGTGTCTGGCAACATCTCGAAGTGTCCAACAGTTACAAAGACTCTTACAGCTTTTTCCCCCTCCCTTCAGGGCCATAAAGCCTAAACCCTCACATTCTTTCTATCTTACAACGCCTAAGTGACGGCCTTGGCTTCCTGTTTTATCTCCTCCTGATGAGATGGGGCAGAAAAACTCTACAGTATGTTCTGTTCTCTTTGTAATCAGAAAAGGAAGGCCATGATTCTACACAAACAGCATTTCTTATAACTCAGCAGTATAATGCATCATAAAACAGTGTAATGATTTCACAACCTTTAATCAAAGGCATAATGTGGCCTATAGCCGTATAATGATTCAACAATTATTTGATTAGAAGTATAAGGTGGATAAGATGGTGTAATACTCTCACAGGTAAGATGGTGTAGCTTCACCTTCCGTCTCTTCTGCTGAGGTCGGGAAAAAAAGACATTCAGTGATTTTAGAGTAAAATTATGAAGCCACTACACAGTGTGTAGATGTGTATGCCTGCTGACCTTTGACCTGCCGGGCCAGGAGACGTGGTCCTGCCAGTCCGATACCCAGTGCACCAACTGGAGCTGTGATCAAGATGGCTAACACCGCTAATGTTAGCACGTCCAAACCAAACTTAATTAAGGCCTCGTCCCCTTCCTCCCTCGCCATGTCCAATGCCTTGGAGCCAATGGCAGCCTAGCACATACAGACATAAATAACTGCTCAGGAGAAGTGCAGATTAACAATGAAGGCATGTATCATTAAAGTCACAGAGGTGGTTTTAATGGAAACAACAGTACTTTTTTAGTTCTTAGTCATAACTGAGGAAGATGTATAGGACCTTGGGTTTCATGACTAATGAAAAACTAGAACATGTTTATGAGATTAACGTAGTAATTTAGGTTTTCGAAGTCAATAAAGAGAATTCAGGAGCCATGTAGGTAGTTCTAATCAATTCAATCTAGTGATTTCAGTGGTTTATAAAACACACGATGTGTGTGGATAATTTTAGTGGCTGTTCTGGACACCAGTGGCATTTTAGGAGTGTTAAGAGACGTTATGGATCCTTTAGAAGTTTCTGGATAAGTCTGAGGTGCTTCTAGTTCTGGTTTAATAAAGTCGGGCACACTATTCTTGAAAAATGAATATCTTCTAGCAGTCTAATATCAGGATTACACACTCACAGACCTGCACAGTAGCTTTAGGCAGCCAGGCCACAGAAATGAAGAGCTTCTCTTTTAAGTTGAATCCTCCATAATGAACCAACAGGAAGGTGACAAGTAGACGGATCACCAGACCAATAAGAATGCAGGCCATACCCAGACCTAAGGGCATAGACACAACAACAAAGAGGAAACCAGTATCTTAAATTTCCTCAAGCAGTGAAATGTTTTGCTCTGCAGGTTAAAGCTCTTTGATTACTGGGCCCACTGGGCTCCTAGTAACTGAGAACAAAATCTAGAAACAAATGGAGCAAAGTCTAACTGAAATATACTGGTAGTATAATGTTCTTACCCACAGTACTTGGGCTGAGTGCTTTAATCGTGATCTCAGCTCCAATCAGACCAAAGAGAAGTGGCTGAAATACATCCCATGACCGACCAACTATTTCTGCTACTGGTGCCTGATTGCAAAGTTAGAGATACCTGGATTAACCACATTCCATGGTGCCAGCCATTAAAAGACATGTTGGTTTAGGGTAAACATGACAAAATCCAAGGGCAGGATGCAGGTTAAAGTGATCCTGATATATGATACCTTTTCAGTCTTCCAGCCCAGTGCAGCCAGGAAAGCCAGCACCAGTGTACAGAGACTTCCAGCTCCAGCAAAACCTATAACATTACAGGTGAAGACTGAAAATGTGGACAGACCCAGCAACATGAGGGTCCTCCTCAATACCAGATCCTCCTGCGATCAGACAGAAGATATTAAAGACACATTTTATGAACAATTAAAAAAGGAAAAATCATATTAATAAAAAAATGTCAAACCTGGTCATTGCTGGGGAAGCAGTACAAGAACATGCCCAGGATCATACCAGCTACGATGCCTCCCACCACCTCCAGCAGACCCTTCAGTATGTTCATCCATGTAGAACCTGCAGGACAAACACAACGAGACCATGTAGACTAGAAAAAACACAAACCATAAAGCACAGAACAGAAAAACTTTCTTTGACCTGTAGAGAAGGCGATTCCCAAACATGTAGAGAATCCTGTTATGGCGAGAATAACATCAAAGCTTCCAGCGGCAATCAGGAGGGTGGGGATTCCCTGAAGAACAACACACAGTGACATTAGAGCTTTAAATGTTCTTGACCCTTTGGAAGCTCTTGGGTTGGTGAAGCTTAACTATTTAGTCAATCCTGAAGGAGCCTTGAGCTCTTTTGGGTGATTAGCAGTGTCGCTTTCATTTAAATAAACTTCAAGTATTTTAAGACTTTTAGAAGTAGCTGTAGCAGCTACTACTAAGTAGCTGAAAGTACTTGTGTATTACAAGCTTATGAATTAATTTGGAGGGATAACTGATAAGGTTTACAAATCCTTTAGAAGGCTATTGTTACTGAATCACTATCCTATTAAAAGCTTCAAGGGATGCTCCTGACACCCCTCCACCACCCATCACTTTCTCTCAAGACCAGGTTCAGATGCAAATGAGGAGACTCCACTCAAGCAAGTCTGTGGACCAGGCGAAGTGAGTCTCCGCATCCTCAAGGCCTGTGCCCCCCAGCTGTGTGGAGTCTTCCATAAACTGTTCATGCTGAGTCTGAGTCTGCAGAGGGTCCCAGTGATGTGGAAGACATCATGCCTCGTCCCTGTACCAAAGATGCCACGTCCCAGTGGCCCCCAGGATTACAGGCCTGTGGCACTGACCTCCCACATCATGAAGACCCTGGAAAGGCTCATCCTGCACCAGCTCCGACCCATAGTCAGACCACATCTGGATCCCCTTCAGTTTGCTTACCAGCCTTGTCTCAGAACAGAGGACGCCATCATCTACCTGCTCAATCGTGTCTACACCCATCTGGACCAGCCGGCGAGCACAGTGAGGGTCATGTTTTTTTGACTTTTCCAGTGCTTTCAACACCATCAGGCCGACCCTCCTGGGTGATAAGTTAGCAGCGATGCAGGTGGATGCTTCTCTGGTGTCCTGGATTGTTGATTACCTGACAGGAAGACCACAATATGTACGTCTCCCACAGTGTGTGTCTGACAAGGTAATCAGCAACACAGGGGCACCACAGGGGACTGTCCTCTCCCCCTTCCTCTTCACCCTCTACACCACAGACTTCAGCCACTGCACAGAGACCTGCCATCTTCAGAAGTTTTCTGATGACTCTGCGGTGGTTGGACGCATCAGCAGGGATGATGAGACAGAGTACCGGGCTGTGGTCGACTCCTTTGTCACGTGGTGTGAGCAGAAACATCTGCAGCTCAACGTGGCAAAGACCAAGGAACTGATCGTGGACTTCAGGAAGACCAGGAAACACTTGACCCTTGTTTCAATCCAGGGGGTCAGTGTTGACATTGTGGAGGACTATAAATACCTTGGAGTACACACTGACAATAAACTGGACTGGGCTAAAAACACCACAGCACTTTACAGGACGGGCCAGAGTCGTCTCTATTTTTTGAGGCGACTGAGGTCCTTCAACATCTGCCAGAGGATGCTGAGGATTTTCTATGAGTCTGTTGTGGCCAGTGCGATCCTCTATGCTGTTGCATGCTGGGGAGCAGGCTGAGGGTCGCAGATGCCAACAGACTTAATAAACTGATCCGTAAGGCCAGCAATGTTGTGGGGATGGAGCTGGACTCCCTTAAGGTGGTGTCGGAGAGGCGGATGCTGTCCAAGATAAAGACAATGTTGGATAACACCTCCCACCCACTCCATGACATGCTGGTCAGTCACAGGAGCTCGTTCAGTGAGAGACTGAGATTACCGAAAAGCACCACTGAACGACACAGGAAATCTTTCCTGCCTGTGGCCATCTCCCTGTACAACGCATCCACTTAACACACTGTTTACTGCAACAGCTACACCCCTGTTGCACATGCTCTTCTTCTTATCCAGCTATTTATCAATAAGTGACTAATGAGTGACTAATACCTTATTGATAAGTGATCAATAAGGGATCAATAAAGTATTCTGATTCTGCTTAAGCTTGTAACTTTGTAGAAGGTATTAAGGGCCACAGTGGGTCTCCTAGAGGTCACTGTGGGTCCTTGTAAAGGGGCTAGGACACAATTAGGAAGCTTAGCAATCGCTCAGAATGTGTTGATGGAGCTAGAGCCATTACAGCAGTTCTAGAGTCCTCTAGAACTGCTGTAATGGCTGTTATTTTTAGGTTATACTTGCTCTGCATAAGCCTACACACATGTTTTCTCATTTCTATAGACTCATCTCAGGCTCATCTCTTTTTCCACCCATACGCTGCCCCTTCTAGCAGGATGAACCTTTCATCAGTCAAATGTAGTGATGATAGTAACGGGTGATAATTTACCTTCTCCACTCCATATCCTTCTCTCTGCAGAAGCAGCATTGAAGGAAAAACAACTGCTGGAGAAACGGCAGCCAGTACAAAACTGCACAAACACACACACCACAGATACAGTGAGTGTCACTTTACTTAGTTTGGATCAGCCATACAGAAAGAAATAGCTGCAATTAACATGCAGAAACCACCTGTTTAAAGTCTGTTTAAGAGATTCCAACATGTCAACTAAAGTATTGACTAAGACCATTGTGTGTATGTGTGTATGTGTGTGCAAATTACCCCAGTATGAAACCCCAAACCCATGGCAGACCCAGCAGGAAGTGAGAAACCACAGCACCAATGCAGGCTTCCACCATACAGGGTCCAACTGCAACACGTACGCACACTGCTTTCAGTCGACTTAAAGCCTGCATGCAAACAAGGATTTAAGAGACTGCATTTGATTTTCTGTGTGTAACTACCAGCATGTCAGGAATTGTATGCTGCTACAGTATTTGACTGTTCGTGCACCTCAGGGTTGAGGCCCAGACCAGCTCTGGTCAGGATGATGGACAAGGCGATGTTCCTCAGAGCTGCAGACCAGTGAGTGTCAATAAAGATGGCGTCTGTTATGTAAGGAACATTACGCAACAGCAGACCCGCCAGCAGCATACCTACACGCACACACACACAAGTTTGTACAGGCATGCTGTAGTTGTAAGGACCATAACTAACATAATGTGTGGTAGCACTTTGTGATATGGCCTGTGACTGAGGGTGTGATCCCCCTAAAATTAAATGGAATTTAATTGTATTTTATTTGAAATCGCAATGTACGTCTAAGTATCTACATATACTTACTGATAGATACTGTACATAGGATAAGAGGACAACAATTCAAGTTTTACTGACATGAAGAAATAATAAGCAGTGAAGATTTTCAGGTAATATAATGGAAAAAGTTTGTATGCATGAAGTACTGTTAGGGATCCAGGCTGTATTATAGAGTGGATTAACATTGCCTTTATACTTTCCTATTATGCATTATTTTGGTGTTTATCATGGATGTTCCAATATTCAAATGTCCATTTATGTCACATATGAGGACTGTTCTCCTTTTCCTTCTTATAAGGAAATAAAATAGCATTGTACACTGAATAGCAGAGGCCCATGTGAGAAAACGGAGCCAAGTCGAACTTGACTTTTTCTTTCACAACCACCGACCACAACTTTCAAATGGACTACAAAAGAACTTTAGTAAAACTACAAAAAAAGCTAAATATGTGGCAGCTTTTGTGTTTGTGTTTTTCAAACAAAAGCCGCTACATAACATTGCATACACCCCTGAAAGTAGAACATATTTATAATGCAAAACACTGACTGAAAGCAAGTGGTTGGATTGATGGAGAATGGATCATTCTCAAAGAGAGAAATCGCAGCACCCCCTAGTGTTCTAGCTGCACAATTGCAGCACATAACAGCGCTCGAGTATAAATGCTGGGAACTTGCATGTGCTACACTGTAAGCTCTAAATTTAACACAGGAAGTATTTATTACATTTTACATGACCTCTATTAATCTGGATGAGACTACAACACAATAAGTTACTGGGCTGTACCAAGTAGCGGAGGAAAGGGGGGCAGTGTGGGCAGCTGGATCATTCCCACCAGCTTCCCTCCCAGCACGGAGCAGATGAAGAGGATGATGATGCCGAACAGGTTCCCTCCAGGTAAACACTCTTTTCCCGTGATGGACCAGACGACTCCGAACAGCAGAGCAAACAAACAGACTGCAAGCAGACGGGAAATCTTTTAGACTCGTTAAGTTTCATAGTTTCTCTATTTCTCTGATAGTACACATATTCACAGTCAGTGTTGAGGAGTAACAGAATACATGTACCGCCGTTATTTAAAATACAAAATATGAGTAACTGTATTCCGTTAAAGTATACAGCATTGTCACTGGAAGTGGTTTGCATTGTTTATATATTTATATTATTTACTGTAGATACCGATTAAAAAGGTTTTATGTTGTGAAAAACTGAAATCTGGAAATTGGAATTGGTTTGCCTTATTTTGTTGATGTTTTTACAATGTACAATTTTTGGATACTCGACCCACTTCTGGTCCTTGGGCTGATAATTCTCACATTATGAGTGTTTGTTACCTTTAGTGATGAGCAGGTTGACGAGTCCCTGAGGTCGAGGACATCTGTCCTTCAGACTGATGCAGGGCGCGCAGCATGAGGAGGGTGACTCAGATGATGGCATCGTCATCTGTCCACACACAGATTTTTTTTTCTGTTTTTGATTTTTATTTAATACATATGATCAAGTTAGATAATTGGACCTTAATCACCTGATCACACTTGCCTAGATACTGCCTGGTAATGCCATGGCAACCACTAAATGCTAGGGAAAAAATATCTCAACAGATTACTGCAGTTTGCATAGAAGACTCCACCTTGTCTGAAATATTGCCGATTATCGGACATTTGTCTTTCAAGTAAAAGTTGTGCCTTTTTATTGCAACTTCCAACTGACAAAGAGCACAAGTTGCAACAAATTTCAGCTAGAGATTGCTAGCAACTACTTCCTTTTGCAACCAGTTTCATAGTTACTACCTCCTGCTACCACCCACCAACCGGATGGGAAAATACATTTTTTTTTAGCAATTGATCATTTCCAGAACATTGCCAACCAGTCTTTATGTCTTAAGCTGGGCATACACTGTGCAAGTTTTCTTTTTCTTCAGTCGCGTTATTCAGCTTCTGCTCTGCTTTTGCACAATTGACTCGCAGGGTTTAGAAGTTCATAGGTCACGATGCAGGGTCTCACACTATACGGCCCGATGCTCAGATACGACCTGAGTGCTCACACTGTGCATCCATAACATGAAGCTTATAACACAAAATCTGTCGCTTGCTCTCCCTCTCTGTCTTTCACTCACACAGACACACACACCCAGTGGTCCTAGCCTGTTGGGCGCCCTGGGCGAACACCCCCTCTGCCCCCCCCCCCCCCCTCCACACACACACACACACACACACACACGCACACACCTCATACATATGAAGAGAGAGAGAGTATGCATAGTATGCAAACGGCTACTAAACAGACATCATACTTCGTCATGCAATGAGAACAGGACAAATCAACAATTAAAATTGACTAATTAATATTATATTATTGTATATATTGTTAGGAGTTTAGTCTGTTACTGTTGCTATTTTTACCATTTCTTCTTGGAGTAACTGTAACCCACATAATTTCCTTAGGGATTAATAAAGTATTCTGATTGTTTCAGGATGACCTGCCATTATCCAATCGCACATCTGCTTACCTGTATCTTTTGCTCGTTTCTCCTTGTAGGAGCCATAATTACAGTTTTTTCTGAATGCTTAAACACTAACTGTGATTCCTGTAGCACAGTTTCTAAAACTATTCAGACTTATAGCAAAACCACTCACTGAGTTTGCAAAACTAAAAGCACAAAAACTGCTTTGCACTCAGTTTGCAATTTTGTAACACACACTTTGCAAAACTGTAGGCACAATTCACTGCACAACACTCAATTACCAAATTTCCAACACACTCCTAGCAAACGTATACACATGTATGGCTATCATTAACACTAATTTGCCAACTGTCTGACACACTTTCACATGTGAAAACTTTTTTAGATAATTAGTCCACTTTGCAATCAGCCTAAGCACTATAATACAGGTAAGCTGTGTGTGCGGAGTACAATGGAGGGAGCAGAAAGAGTGAGAAGTAGAGGAGGCCGAGGAAGAGGACGTGGAGGTGAAGAAGTAGGATGAAGAGGACGACAAGGACAAGGAGGAGCAAGAGGAAGACGAGGAGGGGGGAGAGGAAGACGAGGAGGGGGGAGAGGAAGATGAGGAGGGAGGATAGGAAGGGTAAGAAGAGTAAGAAATAGAATTGCTGATGACATCAGAGCTACAATAGTGGACCATGTAATCAACCGTGGAATGACCCTGAGGGTAGCTGGCCAACGGGTCCAGCCTAACTCGAGCCGCTACACTGTACCAAGTACCATAAGGACATTTTGAAATGGGAATCGGTTAGTACAGTCACTTCGCACAAAGATTTGTAGCACTGCCATATGCCAATGAGAAACACACCAATACCATTGATGTAAAAATACTGAAGTTGTTACTTTACAGAATTGCTAGATGACCAGATGCTGGGGGCAGAGGAAGCATGTTCACTGCAGACCAAGTAACCCATATAGTCATTATGGCGATTGCAAATAATCCTATACTTGGAAATAAACACTTGTGTTTGTTTTGATGTGTGTGAATAAACACCAGTACTTGAAGTTTGGATCCCTCTATGCTTATGGATCTATGACAGAAGTAGCTCAAACTGACATAGCCTACCTTGTGCACAGAGAAAGCAAAAGCCAGATGTGTTTTGTATTCATACCATCAGTGTGCAGTTGGCGCATTGTGTGCTTAGTAGATGATGGCTTGTGTGTACTGTTTGATACGGAAACACCATTTTTACGAAGGTGTGAAGAGTTAATCTAGCTGTGTTTGCTTTTGCAAGAGAACTACAATGTTTTGATGATTGGGTGACAGGTTTTCTTATTTGTGTGAAGAGTTTTGCAAAATTAGCCAATAGTTACAAAAATGTGCTTACGCAATCAGAAAAAACTGTAAATGTATTGAATTTTAAGGATCACTGGGTTTTCATTTGTTTGGTTGCTATGGTGATGTGTAACGGGAGTCACGCGGGTGCTAGCGGTGACATTAAGAGGGCGTTGTCAGTTTGTCTTTCACTGGTTTGATTTTAACAGAGGGCTGGGTCGCCGTAGTTTTTGTTGACCGCAGCACAACGAGTTTCCCCTTCATTGTTGCGTTAGAGCCTGTGATGTTTTATTGCTCTGTAAACTTTTCAAGCACTTTAATAAACAAGTAAGCAATTCCACCTCTTGCATTATGGCATAAAGTTGACAGCGCATCAGGGAAATAGGCAAGCTCAGTCCCTGGCCTCTAGCGACTGTGGAAGTCGCTACACTCCTCCTCTTTTCTCTGTTTTTAAACTTTAAAAACGGGTTGTGTGTGAGACTTTAAATCAACAAAATATAAAATATACATTTTAAATTGTTATTGATCCCTTTACCCCGAGTCCTAAAGTGTATATTTATTGTTTGTTTACTTGCACTGCTGTAACTGGAGCTTCGTCGTCTCGTCTCTCTATATGCTGGACTGTATGTAGCGGAGATGACAATAAAGTTTACTTTGACTTCAGCAGCGAGCAGACGCACCGAGGGCTCTCTCACTTTTCACGTATAGAATTTCAAAAAACATCGGTGCAAATTATAAGTGCTCATCTGTCCACATACATTTGGCCTAAACCTTTATAATCACAGAGTCTGGAGCAAGAACAACCGCAACACATGCATATGTTTTCTATAAATAGCCTTTCAGGGGTGACTCATCAAGCCCTCACCGTGGTCGTGCCGTCCAGCTCCTCCGTCTTCCTCCGGGGCATTTCTCTGTCCTCTTGACCAGCCTGAACTTTACTCCCCTTTACCAGGAACAGGTGCATGCGCGCGCGCGCATGTGTAAGAGAGAGCGCTAACTGGGTTAGAGACATGGACTGTGAGTAAGGTGGTGTCCTTTATCCTCTTCTTGCCAAACCTCTTAAAGTGGGTGCATTTCATGGTCAAGAATTATTAAGACCCTAAAATGTACTCCATATAATTGCTGTTAACATTTAAAAATGCTAAAAATAAAATAAAATAAAAAAAGCTAAAAAAAACAACAACAACAACTTCTTAAAAGGTATAAACATAACATGATAATGTGATTTACAGATTTTTCATGCTCAGAGATCTCTTTAGAGATGTAATTAAATAAAAATAAAAGTAAGAGGTAAGACACAGATTTTCCAGCACGATGGAGAACCGTGCCATAAGGCAAAAGTGATAACTAAGTAGCTCGGGGAACAAAACGTTGAAATTTTGGGTCCATGGCCTGGAAACTCCCAGATGTTAATCCCATTGAGAACTTGCGGTCAATCCTCAAGAGGCGGGTGGACAAACAAAAACCCATAAATTCTGACAAACTCCAAGAAGTGATTATGGCAGAATGGGTTGCTATCAGTCAGGATTTGGCCCAGAAGTGATTGAGAGCATGCCCAGTCGAATTGTAGAGGTCCTGAAAAAGAAGGGCCAACACGGAAAATACTGACTCTTGGCATACATGTCATGTAATTGTCGATAAAAGCCTTTGAACGTATGAAGTGCTTGTAATTATGTTTCAGTGAATCACAGAAACAACTGAAACGACGACTGTAGACTATTTCGATTCAGAAAAGTTTAATTATTTAGCCTTGTTGTGCAAACAAGCCTGCATAACTTAATACATATAGAATTTGAAAAGTAACAAATGTTATCTAAAAAGTTCTGATGAGTTTTGGCAAACATCGAAGCAAATATCAATAGTGTCGATACCAAGTCGGCATCGGTATCGGATCGATACTAGCCTGGTGAGATTGATCCTTTACTTTGAGTTCTGCTTGTTTACAACGCTGTGCAAAGACGAAACAGCCAGGTCGCTGTGTCAGCGGAGAGCAGGCACACTTTGCTCCCTCTCCCCCAACGTTATGTTTCGGTGTTGCCCTGTCACTCGACGTGACTTAAACACTTTGGGGGTTGTTAAGTTGTTTATCATTTATATTTTCACCAGTTTTTGTTGTTGAGAATTTTAATTGTAATTTTTGTATTATAGTTTATCAACAGCATTTGTTTTAATTTGTTTACTGGTTTGCGTGCACTTAAGATAAAAAACAAAACAAAGATCACCACCACAGCAGACCCGATGGCTTTTTCATGGTTCACAGCACCGTTTATTCTTACAATAATCACACGGTCGCCGTAACAGTACATTCAACGGCTGCAGCTCTCCCACTGCCAGCTGTACACATCACCACCACCAAACCTGCAGTGGTATCGCAGAACACACCCCGCCACATACCCCCATCGCCCACCAACCTGCCAACACAGACGATGATGCAATTCTACACTACAATCACCTCCTCCATCACCGTGTGGTACGCTGGAGCCACTATCAGGGACAAACAGAGACTGCAGTGTGTTGTGCGCTCTGCTGAGAAGGTGATTGGCTGCAGACTCCCATCTCTGCAGGACCTGTACACCTCCAGGACACTGCGGCGTGCAGCCCGGATCTCAGCTGACCCTTCTCACCCTGGACACAGTCTGTTTGACCTGCTCCCCTCAGGCAGGAGGCTCCGGTCCATTCGCACCAGAACCTCTCGCCATAAGAACAGTTTCTTCCCCTCTGCTGTTGGACACATGAACAATAACCGTATGACTGTTCCCACCACTAACACATGACCCTACGCTGTGTTCACTGCATCATTCCATGTTTGGCACTGATCACCACCTGCACTCATGTATATATCATGTATATATATATCTACTTAGCACTTTTTATTTTTATGTTCATTTAAGCGTGCCAGCCTCCAGCTAACCCCGAGCCGCACGCTGTCCACCCTTACAGTAATCACACGGTCGCTGTAACAGTACATTCAACGGCTGCAGCTCTCCCGCTGCAGCCGTACACATCAACACCAAAAACAACAACACGAGCAGAAGTTGACGAGCAGAAGCAGGAAACACACATGTCTCTTTGTGTTTGTTATGAGACTCAGGATGGTTCTGAATCTAACTTGAGATATTTGAAAATGATATCTAAGACCAACACTGCAAGTTTGGAGACATACAGTGTTTATCTGCATGTCCCAGGGTTGGTTTCACATGCTACTAGTATGTGTGGGCTGAAACCCATTAGTTGTAGCTGTGTGATAATGGTTTGGTACCAATATTACATGAGACCCCCCACGAATATATAACAGAAATATTAAAAAATGTGGCCGTATGCTCGTCCTCCTCTATCCTATCCCTTTTATTGGTTGAATATGCGGTGTAATGGCTTATTTGACGCCCTGTTTGCGGAGTGACTGATTTGCTGGAGTAGAGATTTTAGTGGTTCTTGTTTTTGCTACGTTTGCTTGTTTGTTTTTTATTGCAGTGACCGAGGATAAGCCAGTACCCATGGGACCTCTCTGGTGGTGGAGTCCTCTTCCACACTGCTTTTGCTGAACAGCAACTTGGGTGTAAAATTTTAGGGTATTATTTTATTTTTTGTTTTTTTTGCTTCTTTGGTACATAAATGTTGGGTCTGCGCTTGCAGGCCCGCTGGTTGAAATGAAACAACCCCCCATTGTAAAACCATAAATGGTGTGTCATAACAGTTAAAGCACTGTGTGCGAGCATGTGTGTGTGTGTGTGTGTGTGTGTGACATCCTGCTGATCACAAAGGGTCATCTCCTCTCACCCTTTATATGGCTCAACTTTAATGGTTCACTATATACAAGCACAGATGAGCTCTTAAATGGCTAAGAGTGATCATCCTTTACAGATAAGACAACCAGAACCTTTAGATTGGAATGTGCCTGCAGTTTAACACTATAGCCAATTGCTTCGATGTGTAGGGGAGGAACAGAAGAATATCTAAACATGCAGTTTAAGGCAAGGTTTACAAGTGTAAGTGCAACAATGACAACATTGATCAAAATGAACATAACAATGTGATTTTCCTCTAATGGTCCTCGCTGTTAGTCCAGCTCAATATTAGGCTGTTTTGCGTAATTTGGGACTCTACTATAGGATGGCCCTCCCACACTCATCTTTTATTGTGATCCATGCTGAAATTGTTTAAGGAAAAAAGCGAATATCTTAAAGGTATCTTAATACTGAAACCAGACTGCCTCTGTGTATTTTCATCTTCTAGTCGGTTTGTTTGAAAATCGCCTCTGTCAGTGCGCCCCAGGGCAGCTGTGGCTGCAACGTAGCTTGCCATCACCAGTGTGTGAATGTGTGTGTGACTGAATGTGTAAAGCGCTTTGGAGTCCTTAGGGACTAAGTTAAGTGCTGTACAAATACAAGCCATTTACCATTTATATTTCCTACGTTGAAATTCCTCTAGGTGGCATTATTGCATTTTAATCATATCCACACCACACTTGTTTTTCACAATTTGCAGTATGCTTGTTTTCTTAGCATTAACTCGGCTTTTGCTCGTTTCCTGTTCACAACATCTACTCAAAAAGCAAACAACCAAATGAAACAATCTGCATTAAAGCAATGGATACTATTATTACAGGGTTTGTATGGGTGTGGGCTTTTTGACTACACACAGCTGGCTATATACTTAGAATTCTTCACTCTTTTAACCAAATACTTTTGCAAAGAAACACAATGCTGCCATGAATCCCTCATTAGGGTTAGGCCCATTTACACAGTTAAAATAAAACTCCAGCTCTAGATGAGTTGCTTGAAACTTGGTGGTTGTTAAAAGGCTCATTCCACATCCATTAAATTTCAGTGTGTTCAGGCAGCAGCTGGTGGACAAGGATTTGAGTAAGAAACTAAAGTACATGTCATGTTTTTCATATTTAGGGCCAACTTGATACCAATCATGGGACTATCATTAGTTTTTCAGTAGAAAATCCAAAACACACATCCAGCTGAGAGGAAAAGCATCAGGAGAGCTTACCTTCACAATCACCAACGTAATCTTAGGTGGAATCACTTGGATCAGTTGAACCACAGAGTGAAGGAGAAATGGTAAATGCTCAACTCACTGGCCAGACACAAAGTGTGACAATCAAACACATCAAATCAAGCATGGATCCATGGTGCAGGCTGGTACTGTAGATAACTGTGCCTAAGAATCATGACACACTGACATCTGTGGTGAATGTGGCCATGTGAGCTCATAAACAGTTCAGATACGTGTGTCATAGCTTCGTCATGTCATCCCAGCAGAACCTAAAACCTTAGTTACCAATTAAGACTGTATTGTGTGGTTCTAGCTGCGATAACTTAAGTAAATAGCATGTAGTCTTGATGCATACAAAAGAGAAACCTTTTTTAATATTCTAACTTTATTGATAAATATTTATTGAGCTTTGAATTAAAGCTGCACATGTAAATTACAGCTGATCAATAGGACATCACACAATTACAGCATGCTTAATGATTACACGATTACTGATACAAGCTTCCAGGCTGGCAGCCGTGCGTGTAATGAAGTGTGTCTCAAAGATAAACATTCAGATTATTTTGTATGAATATTATCTAAGAATATATTAATATATCTTTGAAAATGTCATTAGACAATAGATTACCCACCCAGTTAAGATTAGTCACTTGCACATTTGAAGCTGTTTAATGAAGCTATCTGTTACTGCCATTAATTACTTAATCTGTATCTAATATTCGCTTTTGTAAATAACCATGTTTTAAGCACACAAAACAGTAAAAATGAACATTTTAGCTTCTTATAACCAAACCTGACACCAGAAAGAATGTGATGTCAGTTTAAAGACCTGACCTCCAGCATCAAGTCTGCCTTTGTTACTCCACCATAGCTAAACTCCAACACATCAGATTAGCATGCTAGCTAAACTATCTGCCAGTCCCCATATGATGAATGACCTCAGCTGTACTTCACTTATGCAACAGACAAACAGAAGAAAATAAAAAATGAAGTAAGAAAATGAAACCTGGTGTGGCAAATACGCTTTATGTTAACACTAGCTAGCCAGAAATTAATTCATAATATAGATTCTGTCACTGCTAATGAGCTGATAACATAATCTTAGTGTAATGTAAAATTAATCATTGCACTTTACCAAAATGCATAAATATCAATATAGTACACTACACAAACATTTGCACATTTACAGTTTCTAACCTGAGCATATGAGAAAATAGAAGATATTGACAGCCAGTATATATAAATGAACTGCAGCTAAATTCTGTTTATGATTTACATAATGTGTGGACATATATATATATATATTGTATATACAGTTTTGTATAGTCAGTTTTTCCACTCAGATGCTTCATAGCTTGCTCTCGAGAGTCCCGTTGTCTTTTTCTTGAACAACCCCGTTGCGGTAAGATGGTGTAGCTCCACCTTCCGTCTCTTCTGCTGAGGTCGGGATTTTTAGAAAGGGGAAGAAAAGACATATGTTGTTTACATATGACTACATCTGACACTGTTCAGTGATGTAAGCCACTACACAGTGTGCAGATGTGTATGCCTGCTGACCTTTGACCTGCCGGGCCAGGAGACGTGGTCCTGCCAGTCCGATACCCAGTGCACCAACTGGAGCTGTGGTCAAGATGGCTAACACCGCTAATGTTAGCACGTCCAAACCAAACTTAATTAAGGCCTCGTCCCTTCCTCCCTCGCCATGTCCAATGCCTTGGAGCCAATGGCAGCCTAGCACATACAGACATAAATAACTGCTCAGGAGAACTGCAGATTAACAATGAAGGAGTTTATCGTTAAGATCACAGAGGTGGTTTTAAGGGAAACAACGGTACTTTTTTAGTTCTTAGTCATCTAGATCTAAAGGCCTTTAGATCATAACTAATGGCGAACTAGAACTTCTTTGCGTGGTTATTGTAGTAATTTAGGTTTTCGAAGTCAGTAAAGAGAATTCAGGAGCCATGTAGGTAGCTAATCAACACCATTACAATCTAATGATTTCAGTGGTTACAAAGAAAAATCTATATGATATCTTAGTAGCTGTTTTGACCACCAGTGGCATTTTAGGAGTGTTTAGAGGCTTTATGCAGAAGTTTCTGGATAAGTCTGAGGTGCTTCTAGTTCTGGTTTAATAAAGTCGGGCACACTATTCTTGAAAAATGAATATCTTCTAGCAGTCTAATATCAGGATTACACACTCACAGACCTGCACAGTAGCTTTAGGCAGCCAGGCCACAGAAATGAAGAGCTTCTCTTTTAAGTTGAATCCTCCGTAATGAACCAACAGGAAGGTGACAAGTAGACGGATCACCAGACCAATAAGAATGCAGGCCATACCCAGACCTAAGGGCATAGACACAACAACAAAGAGGAAACCAATATCTTAAATTTCCTCAAGCAGTGAAATGTTTTGCTCTGCAGGTTAAAGCTCTTTGATTACTGGGCCCACTGGGCTCCTAGTAACTGAGAACAAAATCTAGACACAAATGGAGCAAAGTCTAACTGAAATATACTGGTAGCATAATGTTCTTACCCACAGTACTTGGGCTGAGTGCTTTAATCGTGATCTCAGCTCCAATCAGACCGAAGAGAAGTGGCTGAAATACATCCCATGACCGACCCACCATTTCTGCTACTGGTGCCTGATTGCGAAGTTAGAGATACCTGGATTAACCACATTCCATGGTGCCAGCCATTAAAAGACATGTTGATTTAGGGTAAACATGACAAAATCCAAGGGGCAGGAGGCAGGTTAAAGTGATCCTGATATATGATACCTTTTCAGTCTTCCAGCCCAGTGCAGCCAGGAAAGCCAGCACCAGTGTACAGAGACCTCCAGCTCCAGCAAAACCTATAACATGACTGAAGAAGACTGAAAATGTGGACAGACCCAGCAACATGAGGGTCCTCCTCAATACCAGATCCTCCTGCGATCAGACAGAAGATATTAAAGACACATTTTATGAACAATTAAAAAAGGAAAATCATATTAATAAAAAAATGTCAGACCTGGTCATTGCTGGGGAAGCAGTACAAGAACATGCCCAGGATCATACCAGCTACGATGCCTCCCACCACCTCCAGCAGACCCTTCAGTATGTTCATCCATGTAGAACCTGCAGGACAAACACAATGAGACCATGTAGACTAGAAAAGAACGAACTGAACAGCACAGGACAGAAACATTTTGTCTGACCTGTAGAGAAGGCGATTCCCAAACAAGTAGAGAATCCTGTTATGGCGAGAATATCATCAAAGCTTCCAGCAGCCATCAGGAGGGTGGGGATTCCCTGAAGAACAACACACAGTGACATTAAAGATTTATATTAGAGCAGAAGACTTGATCTTTCTTGACTCCCATGGAAGCTCTTGGGTTTGAGGAGCTTTACTGGAGGAGCCCTAGATCTTTTTGGTGATGCTTTCCCTTCCTTTAAATAGACTTGAAGTGATTAAACGCTTTGAGAAATAGCTGAAGGGATTCTAGTGGTGTATTATAGGTATTGGGGTTGTTGTGAAAACCAATAAGGTGTACAACGCTTTTAGAAGAGTATTGCTACTTAATCAGTATCCTATCAAAGTTTCAAGTGTTGCTTAAGCTGGCTTTAGTGACTTTGTATGAGGTATTAAGGACCACTGTGGGTCTCCTAGAGGTCACTGTGGGTTCTTGTAAAGGGGGTAGAGCATGATTAGGAAGCTTAGCAATCACTGAGAATGTGTTGATGGAGCTCGAGGATCTCTAGAGGCCCCTATATTGATTTTATTAATGGTGTCAATTGTTATGTAATATTTACAGTCCTGCAGGTGGTTCTGCTGTTATTTTTATTTTATACTTGCTCTGCATAAGCCTACACAGATGATGTGTCATGTCTATAGATTCATCTCAGGCTCATCTGTTTTTCCACCCATACGCTGCCCCTTGTGGCAGGATGAACCTTTCATCAGTCAAATGTAGTGATGATAGTAACGGGTGATAATTTACCTTCTCCACTCCATATCCTTCTCTCTGCAGAAGCAGCATTGAAGGAACAACAACTGCTGGAGAAACGGCAGCCAGTACAAAACTGCACAAACACAAATATCACAGGCACAATGAGTGTCGCTTTACTTACTTTGAATCTAGTCATACAGAAAGAAATGGCTCTGTGTGTGTGTCTAGGGATGGGTATCGTTTAGGTTTTATCCGATACCGGTGCCAAACCGGTACTTTTGAAACAGTGCTGGTGCTTAAACGGTGCTCAAACCGGTGCTTAAATAATAGAGAACACAAAATTCAAAAACCTCTCATGTTCAGCTGTTTTTTTTGTAAAAAGATAACAATGTTAGCCTTTTCTGCAGCTATAGTGCATATATGGTATCACTCTTGGCTGGAAGCAGTGCTTAAACAATGGAATAAATACAAACTTTATCCAAAAACTTCTCATGTTTAGCGGTTTTCCACTTTTTCTTTGGTCATTTTAGCCTTTTTGGCCAGGGTGAAGGGAGTATCTGCCATCAAACAAGAAGACAGCCGCATGTAGCTATGATGATGTTTGCTAGTTCACCTTACATGCATTAATGTAATAACGTGGTTAGCCTACTCAACGTAAATTACACACGAACAACATGAAGCTACTCACACAAAGAAGAACGGATGCTGCTGCATCATCATCCTCATCATTTCTGCTACACTGGCAGGGCTAGGGGCCAGGACTCTCCTGTTTGTGTTTTTGGGGGATGTTGCTAACTCCGGGTCCAATAACAGGCACCATACCCACAGTAGATGCGCTCGGTGTGAGGTCTCACAGCAAGCTATCAAATACGGCGCATTTCTCGGCTTTTAAAAAAAACCGCTATGCGTCGCCAGGTGTTTCATCGGATTTGAGGTGTTACCTCCTTTGACAGTATCACAGTATCAGCTTAAGGCGCTTGTTGCAGGCTGCTGAGTTTGTATATTTTGCTGTGAAGTACAGCCAGACTTTTGACCGCTTCGCCTTGGGCATTTTTAATCTGTAGCTCTGCTCTAAAAGAACCTACGTACCTGGGCCCGCCCACTATCCTCGGAAACGTAAAATGATTGGCTAGAATTCAAAGTGTATCACAGGTCAGGAAAAAAAAGCACCGAAATGTGCGCTGCTTTTCGGTCTGGTTACTACCGTTTATGTCAGAACCGGTGCCATCATGGCACCGGATACCGGTACCCATCCCTATGTGTGTGTGTGTGTGTGTGTGTGTGTGTGTGTGTGTGTGTGTGTGTGTGTGTGTGTGCACTTTACCCCAGTATGAAACCCCAAACCCATGGCAGACCCAGCAGGAAGTGAGAAACCACAGCAACAATGCAGGCTTCCACCATACAGGGTCCAACTGCAACACGTACGCACACTGCTTTCAGTCGACTTAAAGCCTGCATGCAAACACAGAGTTAAGAGACTGCATTTGATTTTGTGTGCAACTTAACTTAGACTGATATTTAAATGTACACGTACCTCAGGGTTGAGGCCCAGACCAGCCCTGGTCAGGATGATGGACAAGGCGATGTTCCTCAGAGCTGCAGACCAGTGAGTGTCGATGAAGATGGCGTCCGTTATGTAAGGAACATTACGCAATAGCAGACCTGCCAGCAGCATACCTACACGCACGCACACACATACACAGGTTTTTACATGGTTGCCACACCTGTAAGTACCCCAGCTAACATAATCTGTGCTAGCAAAATACAATGATTCAACATGCATCTGAAATTACAATTAAATTCTTTTTATCTACAAATGCTTCCTGGAAAATACAGTATGTTATAATAAAGGGGTAACAATTCGTGTTTTACTGGAATTAAAAAAATAATTACAGTAATTTTAAGTAGTGTATCAATATTTAAGTAATTTACACTATGCTGTACTTTTAGAGATGCAGGCTTTATTATTAAGGGGATTCGCTTTGCCTTTTTGATTTCTTATTATGTTGGTGTGTATCACTATTCAAATGGCCAAGATAAAATTTCAGATAAAACACACAGAGAATCAATTTAATTCCAGGGGAATTACAGCCATATGCTGTATTATAAAGTTCTACCTAATCACTGTCTTATTAAATCATCATCAAATGGACCTACGTCTCCTCAAAGCAGTGATTGGTCCAGTGTTTCCACCTTTGCATTTTTGCTTACTTCTAATGTCACCATTTTCTCTTTTAATTGACTCAAGGAGAATGGATGAACTCCAAGAGAGAGCACAAACCACCCTCTACTGTTTATGCTGCATATTGCAGCACATCACAGACACACAAGCATAGCTGCTGGGAAGATCTACATCAGAGGCTCTTAACACAGATTTTATAAACTAGAGCTGGGCGATAAACGATAACGATATGTATTGTGAAATAACTTTTCCCGATAGAAAAATGAAACTATTGCGATAGACCTCATCTCTCTCTCTCTTCCTCTCTTATAAAAAATGAATAGCCAATTCAAATTAAGCAGCGCAGAGCCGAACCAATCACAGCCGCAGCGTCACGTCACCTAACTTGTTACGTACAGCTCAAGTGCCAAGCCGCACATGTGTATTTGTTTGGAAAGCAGCCAGCGGCCGGGTAATGGAGGAAATGAGTGTGCCGACTAGAGAAAAATCAACCGAGAGCGTGACCGAAGGTTACCGAAGAGAACACAGATGACGGATGCCGGAGAGATTGTCGAAAGGAAAGGCAAGAGAAGTTCCATAGTGTGGAGGTATTTCGGCTATTTCAAGTCTGACAAAAAACAGAGTAGCGCGCACTGTAAATTGTGCCGAAAGTATGTTCCCACAAAGTCTGGAAATACAACAAACCTTTTTTTATCACCTGAAGCAGTGCCACCCACTAGAGCACGCTCAATCTCTGACTGAAAGCACTAATTCATCATCGAAAACAACTGGGGGAATCCCTGCGAAGCAGTCAATTGAGTCGGCTTTCTCCGGCGTCTTACCATATGACAAAAAAGCTAAGAGACATAGCAACATAACGAATGCCATGGCTTACTGTCTTGCTAAAGACATGCTACCAATAAACACGGTCGACAATGAAGGATTCAAGCAGCTAATTAAGGTAATGAATCCTTGTTACCAACTCCCTGGATATAAACATTTCTCTCAGACAGCGCTTCCAAAGCTATATTAAATAAGTTAGTCAATTTTGTCTCTTCTTCTGTAAAATAAGCTAAGATTTATTTTAGAATTAATATTTTGTTTCTAAGTGGACCTGACAATTTAGTAGTCTGTTTTGTTTGTTCTATTCCATCCATCCATCTTCATCCGCTTTATCCAAGGCCGGGTCGCGGGGGCAGCAGCCTAAGCAAAGAGGCCCAGACCTCCCTCTCCCCAGCCACCTCCTCCAGCTTATCCAGGGGAACACCAAGGCGTTCCCAGGCCAGCCGAGATATATAATCTCTCCAGCGTGTCCTGGGTCTGCCCCAGGGCCTCCTCCCAGTGGGACATGCCTGGAACACCTCACCCAGGAGGCGCCCAGGGGGCATCCTTGTCAGATGCCCGAACCACCTCAGCTGGCTCCTTTCGATGTGGAGCAGCAGCTGCTCTACTCTGAGCCCCTCCCGGATGGCCGAACTTCTCACCCTATCTCTAAGGGAGAGGCCAGCCACCCTTCGGAGGAAGCTCATTTCTGCCGCTTGTATCCGCGATCTCGTTCTTTCGGTCACTACCCACAGCTCGTGGCCATAGGTGAGGGTAGGGACGTAGATCGACCGGTAAATTGAGAGCTTCGCTTTTACACTCAGCTCCCTCTTCACCACAACGGACCGGTGCAGCGTCCGCATTACTGCAGCTGCAACCCCAATCCGTCTGTCGATCTCCGGCTCCCTTCTCCCATCACTCACGAACAAGATCCCGAGATACTTGAACTCCTCTACTTGGGGCAGGAACTCATCCCCGTCCCGGAGTGGGCACTCCACCCTTTTCCGGCTGAGAACCATGGCCTCAGATTTGGAGGTGCTGATCCTCATTCCCACTGCTTCACACTCGGCTGCGAACCGTTCCAGTGCGAGCTGGAGGCCCTCACCCGATGAAGCCAACAGAACCACATCATCCGCAAATATCAGAGATGAGATTCTGAGGCCACCAAAGCGAAAGCCCTCCGCCACTTGGCTGCGCCTAGAAATCCTGTCCATAAAAATTATGAACAGAACCAGAGACAAAGGGCAGCCCTGGCGGAGCCCATCACCCATCGGGAACGAGTCCGACTTATTGCCGGCAATGCGAACCAAGCTCTTGCAACGGTTGTATAGGGATCGAATGGCCCGTAGCAATGGGCCAGACACCCCATACTCCCGCAACACCTCCCACAGGACACCCCGAGGGACACGGTCGAATGCCTTCTCCAAGTCCACAAAACACATGTAGACTGGTTGGGCAAACTCCCATGCACCCTCAAGTATCCTGGAGAGGATAAAGAGCTGGTCCAGTGTTCCGCGACCAGGACGAAAACCGCATTGTTCCTCCTGTATCCGAGGTTCGACTAGCGGACGAACTCTCCTTTCCAGCACCCTGGCATAGACTTTCCCAGGGAGGCTGAGGAGTGTGATCCCCCTGTAGTTGGGACACACCCTCCGGTCCTACTTCTTAAAGATGGGGACCACCACCCCGGTCTGCCAGTCCATAGGTACTGCCCCTGAACATTGCAGAGGCGTGTCAACCAGGACAGCCCTACAACGTCCAGAGCCTTCAGGAACTCGGGGCGGACCTAATCAACACCAGGGGCTCTGCCACCAAGGAGTTGTTTAACTGTCTCAGTGACCTCGCCCCCGGAAATTGGCGGGTCATTCCCCTCATCCCCAGACTCTGCTTCCTCCTTGGAAGACGTGTCAGTGGGATCAAGGAGGTCCTCGAAGTATTCCTTCCACCGCCTGGCAATTTTCTCAGTCGACGTCAGCAGCGCTTCGCCAGCACTATACACAGTGCAGGTAGAGCACCGCTTTCCCCTCCTGAGACGCCTGATGGTTTGCCAGAATCTCTTCGAGGCAGTCCGAAAGTCTTTTTCCATGGCCTCCCACACCCGAATTTTTGCTTCAGCCACTGCCCGAGCCGCATTCCGCTTGGCCTGTCGATACCTGTCGGCTGCCTCCGGAGTCCCACAGGCTAACCAAGCCCGATAGGACTCCTTCTTCAGCCTGGTGGCTCCCTTCACCTCTGGTGTCCACCATTTGGTTCGGGGATTACCACCACGGCAGGCACCAACCACCTTGCGGCCGCAGCTCAATGCAGCAGCTTCGGCAATGGAGACGCTGAACATGGTCCATTCGGACTCAATGTCCCCAGTCTCCCTCAGAATGCTGTTGAAGGTCTGCCGGAGGTGTGCGTTGAAGATCTCGCAGACTGGGGCCTCTGTTAGACGTTCCCAGCACACCCTCACTACGCGTTTAGGTGCACCAGGTCTGTCCAGCGTCCTCCCCCGCCACCTGATCCAACTCACCACCAGGTGGTGATCAGTTGACAGCTCAGCCCCTCTCTTTACCGGAGTGTCCAGAACATATGGTCGCAGGTCTGGTGATACGATTACAAGATTGATCATCGACCTACGGCCTAGAGCGTCCTGGTGCCACGTGCACTTATGGACACTCTTATGTTCGAACAGGGTGTTCGTTATGGCCAAATTGTGATTAGCACAGAAGTCCAATAACAAAGCACTGCTCGGGATCAGTTCAGGGAGGCCGTTCCTCCCAATCACGCCCCTCCAGGTCTCGCTGTCGTTACCCACGTGAGCATTGAAGTCTCCCAGCAGGACAACAGAGTCTCCAAGTGGAGCACCTTCTAGCCGGTATCTCTCAACCTCACGCACTAACTCAGGCTCCTTCCCCACCAGAGAGGTGACATTCCATGTCCCTATTGCCAGCCTTGGCAGCTGGGGGTCAGTCCACCAGGGCCTCCACTCCTGGCCGCCACCCGGCACACAATGCACCCGACCCCTATGGCGCCTCCTGCGGGTGGTGGGCCTGCGGAGGATGGGCCCATGTCTCCTCTTCGGGCTGTGCCCGGCCGGGCCCCATGGACTAAGGCCCGGCCACCAGACGCTCGCCCTCGGGCACCCTCCCCGGGCCTGGATCCAGGCGGGGCCCCGGTAACCCTATCCCGGGCAGGGTAAACTGTTCCCTCGATAATCTTTTCATAAGGGTCTTCTGAATCGCTCTTTGTCTGGTCCCTCACCCAGGACCAATGGGAGACCCTACCAGGGGGCAAAGCCCCCAGACAACATAGCCCCTGGGATCCCTGGGACACACAAACCCCTCCACCATGATAAGGTAGCGATTCAAGGAGGAGTTCTATTTTGAAACTTAAATGCTTTAGCAGCTACCTTTTGTGTAGTTTGTAATATTTGCCTTTATTTATCTGAAACTGAAGCCTCATTTTAAGTACATCTGCCCTGTTGAACTTATTATGGGAAATAAATATTTAAATCAAAACAAGCTGCTGATTATTTCACATTTTACTTGTGAGCAACGGCACATTTAAATCTTACAAATATAGTTATTTGGCTTATATCGTGATATACTGTATATCGTTATCGCCTGAAATGAAAAAAACATATCGTGATATGAAAAAATCTCATATCGCCCAGCTCTACTTGCTTAAACTATAAAAGGAATGAGTGATTGGGCTGTACCAAGCAGTGGAGGGAAGGGGGGCAGTGTGGGCAGTTGGATCATTCCCACCAGCTTCCCTCCCAGCACGGAACAGATGAAGAGGATGATGATGCCGAACAGGTTCCCTCCAGGTAAACACTCTTTTCCCGTGATGGTCCAGACGACTCCGAACATCAGAGCAAACAAACACACTGCAAGCAGATGTGACATCCCATTAAGATTCAGTGTGACAGGACACATTTACACAGTGCTGCTGGTCAGGTAGAGTATTTAATGAAGACACATAGTTGAGGATGTTACCTTATACAAACACACAGGCATCATGAGTGTTCGTTACCTTTGGTGATGAGCAGGTTGATGATTCCCCGAGGTCGAGGACATCTGTCCTTCAGACTGATACAGGACGCGCAGCAGGAAGAGTCAGATGATGGCGTCTTCATCTGTTCATTAGATGTTTTTCAGTTTCTGATATTCATCATTCATTTGGTCACAGCAACAGATTGCTGCAGACACCAGTAGTTTGCATAGAAGACGCCAGCTTGTCTGAACTATTGCCAAATGTAGAACATTTGTCTTTCAAGAAAAACGTTTTCATTTTTGCTGCAACCTACAACTTGCAACTTATTTCACCTAGAGACAGCTAACAACCACTGACCAGCTGTTTGGGAAATATACATTTTTTCATTTCCATTTTTATACCGGCCTTTCTCTCGGTCAGCGCAGTGACCTACTGAGTCTTCAGCAATAAGTTAAACAGTGTCTGCCAGCAAACTCCAGCAACCAGATGGTGAATTTTCATTTTTCCCTAGCAACGGACTGTTTCTAGGACATCGCCAACCAGTCTCTACACTTGTGTGACTGAGCACTTACAGGACACAACGCCTAAACCACAAACTTTATTATCATTAATATTCATGAGAACTTTAAACCCTCAACTACAACCAGGTTGCTGAGGTTTCATTAGAGTGAGGTTGCATTCGATCCATCTGTAGTTGCTAAAAGAGCACAGATTCAGTAACTATAAGGTGTTACCCTTCAAATTAAGTGTCTTATATGAATTTTGTCCTTGGAATTCTTATGTTCTAACATTTGGAAAGGAAAATTCCCAATAAATGGGTAGAAACTGCCTTAATAACAACAATTCTTGGTCTTTTTTTTTTTTCGTTGTATGCATGCTGGTCTCCTTCACTCTGACTCCAAAGTGTTTTACACATATTTTCACATGTAGAGCCCACTGCCCAGAGGTTAGCTGCAGTTCTCATCTGTCCACCTACATTCAGTCTAAACCTTAAAAATTACAGAGCCCCAACACTTGCATATGGTTTCTATAAATAGACGGCCTTTCTCAGAGCTCAGAGGTGAATCACACTCACCGTGGTCGTGTCGTCCGGCTCCTCCGGCTCCTCCGCCTTCCTCCGGGGCAGGACGGTGATCTCTCTGTCCTCTTGACCAGCCTGAACTTTACTCCCTACCTTTACCAGAAACGTGCATGTGTACAAAAGTGAGAGAGAGAGAGAGAGAGAGATAGAGAGAGAGAGAGAGAGATAGAATGGGTTTAAAGACATGGGCTGTAGGGTTTTGTCCTTTGTCCTCTTCAGCCAAACCTCTTGAAGCAGGTGAATTTCAATGGTTGGCGAATTACTAAGGCCCTAGAAGTTACTCTGTTTGCTCTTTATGTTTTGCTCAATACTTCCTAGATTTTCTTTAAAAGTTGGCAAAAGACTGCTGATTTAGAGATGCAGGACTTTGTTCGTGTTCAGAGATCTTTTTAAAAATAGTAATAATTTTATTATAACATTTAAGTGATGAGATGAACAGAAAGAAATAGGAAAACCAAAAAAAAAAAGTAAAGAGAAATAAAACTGGTATGGAAGAACCACCAAAAACAGAGAGCACTGTAAAATAATTGAAAGCTGATTTCAAAAAGACAATCAAAGGCAGTAAAAGATCATAAAGGATTCAATCACAGCAAAACACCAATACTTCTGTGAGCCTTATCTCCTCAGGCTGGTCATTCAAAGCTGGAAAGCCCTGATGGAAAAATTTATGGTCACCCTTTAGATATATAACAAGCCTCATCTTTGGAGGATCAGAAGGTGCCAACAAGCTCATAACATATGGGGTCAACTCTCTTCTGTATTACATCTTAAAAATCCATGCATTATTTAAACCACTTATCCAGCTTCCTGCAACATATATATCACCTATAAACTAAATACCACAAAGTTACTTTCGCAGTTTTTGAGTAAAGTCATGCTTTAAAAGTCTGACTAGTACAAGGCCAGCCACCTCATTCCTGCAGGTTAGTACAACGTCTGCAGAGGCACCAAACTGCTGTGAACCAAGTACATTAATTGGACTCGTGCTGCAAAAACTTGTCAGTGATTATTTTTTTCATTACTATACCGTATGACTACCAAGGTCAAAAACCTTTATTGAATATTGTGACGTAGTTGTGTGGTGTAATCTCTGATTGGGTCATGTGATGGCTTCCTTACTGACATACCTCCTAAAAGTCAGATAACGCAGCCAAGAAACTGGGGTGTGTTCATTATGGTGTGCTGGTATTGGTTGTTGTTGGTCTGCCCATTTGCCCCAAATCAAATCAAATCAAATCACTTTTTATTGTCACATCACATGTGCAGGCACACTGGCACAGCACATGCGAGTGAAATTCTTGTGTGCGAGCCCCACAAGCAACAGAGATGTGCAAACACAACAACACAAACGAGCAAAATACAAGAATGGCCAACCTGAAACTAATAAATATATGTACAATATATAATAGTGTATGCATTTCTGGATGTGTATACTAAATATTTTCCTACGTGTGTGTGTGTGTGTGTGTGTGTGTGTGTGCGTGTGTGTGTATACACATTTTTACAAATTAAATAGTAAAAAATAAAATAAAATAATAATAATAATAATAAAATATATAAAATATACAGAGTTGAATATGTGCAAAACAAGTGGCATTTATATACAGTGTGGAGTGCATAATGTTGAAGTTCCCCACTAACCTGTGGAAGGCCACGCCTCCACCGTGAGACTGAGTGAGCACATGTCAAAGAGGAACGCACACCTATTCCTGTTTGTTTTCCTCCTGTTTGTCTGTTTACTAGACAAACAGTTATTGTTTTATCCCATCAGTCACTAAACGAGCAGATACACTATCCCACCTCTCACACACACATACAGATCATGAAAAATGTCAACATTCGACATTTTATGGCTCTGGACCCTCACTAATGTCTAAAGTCCGCTGGTTTCCAGTTGATCTATCCAACCTTTTATGTTTTCAGAAGAACTTTGATGATTTCTAAACACTCTGCAGCCACATGGGTGATTTACAGCTTAAATGTGACAGACAGCCATGCACGTAAAGCTGACTTTGTTTCTAAGAATAACCGAATAAGTACACGGGTGTTTAATGTTTGGTGATCCAATTTCATGAACTTAACAACTTTTTATGACCAAATAGCAGCTTATCTGTACCTCTAAATCTGTTAATTGTTTTATGATCTGTCGTTGCCATACATTGGTCCACTGTGACATGTGATAGCATTACTGCTCCGGCCTTCATTCACTTTACATGGTTAAATGACCTTTACTGAAGCGCCAAGGGCCAACTGGAGGTGGACGGTGGAGGAGTGAAATATCAACACGCTGCATTAAAACTATGAAATACGTAAGAAATCCTGCTTTACACAAAGTGTTGTCAACCTATTGTATTTCAAGTGTCACACATTGTGTTTGTTTGTTTAGTGCATATATGGCAGACATGGTTTATGATTTACTATCAATAGTCTTAGATCCTCTGCCCTCTTTTCTTGAACAGAGGTATCCATCTGATCATCAGCCCGTCAGCATTTCAAGTTCCAGGTCAATGGCTCCTGGTCATTTATTAGCTCTGCTTTGAGTCGCTGTTGGTTTTTGGCCTCTGCATTCCCATATTCATAGTTAATAGTTAAGTCTGGCTTTGAGGCTACAACAGCTCAGGCAGGTCTCTCTGGTCCTTATTCTCACTCACTTGTTTTACTGTCAGTCAGGAAACTTGTGCCAGTTATTCAGTTGTTCAACTGCTCATGAATGCAAATATTACATCAGCAAGTCACTGGTGACGACTCAAGATGACCTGCTGAAACTCAAAGAGACTTTGGTTATCAGAGTATTTCATAAACTGCTGATCTGTTGGGATTTTTCCCACACAGCCAACTCTAAGGTTTACAGAGAATCATCTGAAAACATCCAATGGTCTTCAAGTCTCTGGATGAAAATGCCTCAGTGATGTCAGAGGTCAGACTGCTTCAAGCTAACAAGAAGGCAACGCTAGATCAAAGGCATGCAGAAGAGCGCCTCTGAATGCACAGCGTGTTGAACTTTGAAGCTAACAGTCAACAGAAGTCTGCACTGGGTGCACTCCAGAGAGCTAAGAACTAAAGCTACAATTCACAGACTCATCAAAATTGGACAGTAGACGGTTGGACAAACATTTCCTGGTCTGATGAGTCTCAGTTTCTGTTGCAACATTCAGGCAGGGTCAGAGCGTGGATCCATCCTGCCTTACATCACCTGTTCAAGCTGCCAGTGGTGTGGGAGAGATTTCACAGGTACAGAAGAAGCACCCTGTCAGTTTGTTATCTCAAACAGACTTTAAAGTGACCATCTTCAGTCTTGGATGACAAACTGGTCACACGTACTGGGCTATTTTGATGGCTGGAGCAGTTGTGTTTTCTTTACCATGTCAGAGCAGAAATAGAAGGAAAGATAAAGTTGTAGGCCACGTGACTCCACGTGTGTGGTTTTAATAGGTGGATGTTTTGTGTGATGTGAACAGTCGGTGGTACCTCAGCCTGTTCCTGCTGCAGCCCAACGTCGCTCACCCGAAGGTAACGCTTGGTGGCCTCTTCATCCATCATCTGAAACAATCACGCATTTCTTCTCATATATGTGAGGAGCCACATTTAAATATTTCAAATAAGTCTGATTTCAAACTAACAAAGTCCTTAATGCTAAATGCCATTGAAGTCCAATCAGTCTATTCAAGTAAGAATAGTGAAAATGTCATGGAAATCATGAACAAAATGAGCACCCAAATAAACTTTTTAAAACGTCTTAATGGACGGTGTCAGTTTACTTTGTGTGACCATTCAGAAAATCCTCATCTAAATCCTTGTTTCATTCACCTTTTTAAAATTTTATTAAAGATGTTCCACATTTCATCTGAGAGGATATTTCAGTTCTAAAGGCTCATGGACTCATTGCAGGCGGTCCAGAGACTCGCAGAGCCGCCCTGTAATCATGTAAGTAGGTGCACTTTAGTCCCACCAACACCTTTAATCACGGACACTTTTCATTGTTGTTACCAATCAAATCTGCCCGCTGCAACCCTTTCGCTCTTCTCTGCGGTTGATGAATGGACCAACAGCAGTACAAGCAAGAGTGACGCACACACTAGTCGGTCCACATACAGGCCTCCATTTGTGCACTGCCTCCATCTGACATCAGCTTTTTGCAGGCAGACAGGCTATCCCAAGACTGCGGTGGACAGTGAACGCACCACCTCTGCTTCACCAGAAATTCCACTTAATGCTGTCCTGAGATCCCTTCTCATCCAATTTAATCTCCACTCACACCTTAGCCAATGTGCTCCTAATGCCTCAATGCCTCACATGACTGTAGAGCGATCAGCGACTCATAAGAAATTCACTTCAGTGACCCACGCCTTGATTCCCACCTTGGCCCCTGTGACCCCAAATGATTCTCATGATTATAGGGTTGAACCCTCTGCAAGGTGACTCTCCAACAACGAGTAAATACCTGAGAGTCTCCACCAGCTTTTAGACCTGAACAAACCTCTTGGATGGATAAACAGTGAAACTTCTCCAAGAACCTGAAAAGAAGTCCAAACTCAAGAAGTACCCGGAGTGACTTCTTCAAAGGTTTTAATGCCAGCTGATGATTGTTATTGTCAACATGCTGATAATCCTCACTATAGATTACCAGACTTAGCAGATTAGAAAAAGCTTACACTTGGAAATCTTTCATCTTTAACGCCACCCTTACTGTAATCTCTTAATCTACTGCATGACTAATAACTGAAGCCTTCAGAAAAGCAAAGTTACATACAATGTGCAGTTTTACCTGGAAATACAGTGATGCAGGAGTAAGACATATCAGGCAAACTTTAACTTATTTCTAATAGAAATTATTTTTTTAAATAATATATATAAACAATATATGCATATATATAAATATGCAGTTTTTTCTCTTAAAAATGTGAAAATTGGCATTTCAAGTAAAATAAATACTTGGCCTCAGTATTTGATCAACACACTGCTTCATTAATTGTGCGTAAGCAAAAGTAAAACAGTATAGTCCAACTACTCTCCATTTCCACTTCAGGTCTTTTCAGCCCATCACAGAAATCTCCACGTAAACCCAAAACAAAGGACAAATGTTCCCTCCAGTCCCAGCTGACAGCTTCACTGAAACCTCACACACTTCCCATCACGTACCCATAAAAGCTGAATTATTCTCATTTTCTCAGGCTCTTACCTTGAGCTGATGAAAAGTTGTGTGACTGGAACAAAGAGCAGCAGGCGACTTAGTCATCAAGCAGCAACAAGAGACGGAGGAAGCGAGTGTCTGCCGCGTGTTAACAACAGACGGTTTTAACTCTGTTGTGTTTGTCGCTGTGCAGAATGACAGACGTCACACACAGACACACACGCGTGGTAAAGCCTGGCATTATGGGAACACAGGTCGCAGTAACCCTGAGTCCTCTGTATTAATGCCAGGCTGCAGGGCAGCAGACACAAACATTATCATACACATAATAGCAGGTGTGTGTCCGTGTGTGCGCACATGCAGCATTTACACTGGACGCCTGACGTTAACACGCCGCGCGCAGGTGCTGAGGTGACGGCCAGCTTTGACCTTTTTGTAGAAACTGAAATGTTCATGTGAGGAGTTAAATCAGAGCTGAGAGGCGCGATGAAACGATGAAACCACTGCTTTGTGATCCAAAAACCACACCTGTGCACGCACGCCGTATCTGAGGATTAGTGGTTTGCTTCTGCAACTAACTATTAAACCATCAGGGTATTATCTTCTTAAGAGTCAGGAAGTTGTGACGAATACTGTTTGTGATGCTCGCCAAGTGAGACAAGATGTTTGGACGTTCTACTTTGTTTTGTTTGAGATGTTTGCTTGGAGAATCAGCGGTTACCAGACTGAGGATGTGAACAACAGGACGGCAGCAGCACTCTGGACTGGGAGTAAGATGCTGCCCCAATGAGGGAGTTTAAGTATCTTGGGGTTTGTGAGCGAGGGAGAAAGGAGGAGACTGGTGGATGGATCGGTGCAGCGTCTGCAGTAATGTGGGCACTGTAACTATCTGTGGTCGAGAGAGACCTGAATGTGAATGCAAAGCTGCTGATTTACTGATCTGCTCTTACCTGTCTGAGAGCTGTGGTTGCAGGTATGAGCTGCCTCTGAAGGCTGTCCACATCCACAGGAGCCTGCTGAAGTGGTTCAGGGACCTGACTATCATGCCTCGTGGATGCCTCCCAGCTGAGGTGCTTCCTTGTAAGTCAACAGTCTGGGCATCTCTGCTTAGATGCACACAGCAGTGACCTGGACCTGCAAACCTGTTCATTTAGACTGTTGTAGTGACTCCATGTAGCGCCTGCGATGTGACCAGCACCACTGCCAGCATATTCATGACTGTGCATATTGTATTAAGTATGAATTAAACTTGTGGTCATGTCCTGGTGTTTTAAACCCGATGACAGAAACAACAGAAATGCAGGGACCTTTGTCGCTCTTGGCTCTCTGCTCTTTGTTTGCTGTGACATAGTCCACTGTGAGTGAGTCTATATGGCGTACACAAATATTTGATAAAAAAAAATACTACATTTTTATATATCTGGTAGATGGGTGAATGTAGGAACACCCAGAATGTGAAAGTGAAATGATAATTGCATTTTCATTTCAGTTTGAAAACATCCATGCATGGAAACGATATTTGTGTGTTGTGATTGGTTGTGCTCTCACGGGTTTTATGGATTATTCGACTCTTCCAGGCAAAATCAAAGTACTGCCTACTTCAGTCGTAGACATTATCTATACAGTCTATAAAGCATGTAATGGAAAAAGACAACGCTGGTAAATGAGCAATGCTTCATATGTTTATATTTTTTTACTGCAACTGCAGGACAGCAAAGTGGGCCTAAACAATGATGATACCCCACTGCCGTCTTTTTCTGTGGTACCTTCTTCAGGTTATTTCCACCTCTGTTCTTGGTGGGATCTTTGCAGCACACTCGGAGTCGTGGGTTTCATCTGTTCATAGACAGTTTGCTTGGATTTAAATGATCTCCTGGGTTTTTAGAGAATATTTGTTAGCACTGATCTTGTGTTTGAAATACTTTGTGAGCAAAGCAAAGCAACACATTCACACACTGTAATTGCACTCGAAGTGTGGTTTCTGTGCTCAGTCTTTGTCAGCTAACAGACTTTCTCTGTCTTTATTTATTGGGGAAGGGACCCTCTACAACCCAGACAACTAACTCCAGGCAGCTTTTGAAGGAAGCACAATTGATAAAAATGTGCACCTGTTTGTGTAGCAAGCCTATTGGGACGGTGCTCGTCTTTAACTAAACCAGTGTGTTTTAAGGCTTTTTATTATTACCAGAGCACAGTTCTCCAGTCTGAGCACATTCTATTTAATCTCCATCTAAAGATACTTCTGACACTCAACATCTCCATTATTTATCTCTTTTTCTGGACTAGAGGAAGTGGAAAGAGACGTGACGCCTCTGCAGACACGCCGTGAGTCACATATGCAGTCGCACATTACTTAATCTAAACATAACCCTCGACAAACCTTTCATGACTTGCGTTTAGAGCACTTTAGGTCAAACACACACAGAGGAGAGAGTGTGTGTATAAGTTTATTAGTGTGATACAAGATGATATAAACCAAATATTCACTGTTTACACAAACATTAAAGGCTACAGTCTGTCCATAAAGCATTTGAATCCATATAATCAAACATTACTCATCATCATCATCATGATAACAAAGTCATAACAGCTAAATCAGGAAGAAACAAACACACAGTCCTTACATGTGACTGTGTGCTCACACACACACACACACACACACTAACAGCCCTGTGTAAGAAGCATGACATACAAAACGCTGTAGAAAAATACTCTTAAAAAACCAAACACACAAAACAACATCAGCAGCAGCAACTTGGAATGTTCTGGATGTGAGTCCGACCTCAGCACAGAAGGTCAACGGGGCAATTCGTTGGGCAACTCTTCCACTGGGTTAACAGGGAGTCAAAATGGGGAGAAGTGCTAAAATGTTGATCTCGCCAAGTGAAACAAATTCACAGCCTCCAATTATTCATTAGTGGACACGATGAGTGAAACATTTCCACCTTTGTTTTAAACTTACGTCTCAGGTTTAACAAACTCAGAGTTTTCACTAAACCTGCTTTCTGAAACAAAAGCCCAGATAACTGCAGGGTGTATTATGACCAGCATTCAGCCTTTTGGAGCCTCTGGTGGAGAAAAACAGGAATCACCGCCTGCATGTCCACTAGCTCCACCAGATCTCCCAGAAGTCTAAGGCTCCAGTCACAAGGCCTAGAGACTGGTGGCAACCACCGGGCAACCACTGTGTGCCAGGGAAAAATGAGAAGATGTCTTGCAGACAAATTAGGAGGAGTCACTGCAAACTGCTAACAACCAACCATCATGTGGAGATTTTTGGTGGTTCACCTTTGTTGTGACTGATTTCACCTGGCAACAGCTAGCAACCACTTGTCAACCGATTGAGGAATACACGTTTCCCCCTGTGACCAGAGGTTGCTGAGTGTCTCTAGGCCTGTGTGACTGAGGCCTCAGTATGAGTCAGGGTTTTACTCTGTTGTATTGATGCTTCTTTGCTGTCTGTGTGAGTATTTTTGTCACACATATGAGGCAAACAAAACAAACAAAAACAGTTACCATTAATATTTCAGTGAATTCAGTGTGAGGCAGTTAGCTTAAAGCATAAATGTGGTAAACATGTGTATGTAAATAGAGGCAACACCCCAGTGATCACTCGGAGTACTGCAACAAAGAAAATTCAACCTTTTTTTTCCACAACCTTCTCCATGTTTGAAGAGTCATCTAAAAAAACGCCGTCAGAACACGTAAACTGCAAACAAACCGTCTGTTGTGAGTTTTAATGAAGTCTTAATATCTTTTTTCCTCCTTCTAGTTCAGCTACGGTGTGAAAACTGTTACTGTTGAACAGTTGGACCTAAACGGCTTGTAAATACACAGCAAAGCTAATGTAGCTTAGTGCTAACGCTATGAAAACACATCATTAACGCTCTATACTGTGCTACATTTGTGCTTCGTACTCTAGCTGGCGCTAATTTGGCAGTTAATCGTTTGTGTTAGTGAGTCTGCTAGCTTTAAACTACAGTCTGACCGTCTGATACATGAGATAAAGCTCATATGTCTTATGTTAACATTTGGATTAACACTAATGTTTCCACATTAGCAATACGTTAAAGTTATACTTCACAGGCAGTTTAAATATTGCTTTTTTGCGCTTTATCCACTTTGATGAACATTAGGTTACTTTTAGATAAAAACTGGGTAAAACTTTACTTCAAGTCCCCTGATTTATCATTTATAATAAGCGTGTTATTAACTGTTTACGTTACTAACGATATATCTGTAAGCCAGAAACTTTAAAGGCTAATGATCTGCATTGTTCTAACTTCACCTCTGAAGACATTTTTCATTATCGTAAACAAACATGAATAAACACGGCTTAAAACTACATCGGTGTATGCTATATACAAAATAAAGCTTGTGTTACATCTTCATGTGCCATTATACAGCACGACTGGGTCGGGGGGGTCAGTTAGAGGTTTCTGTCTGAAAGAAAATAAATGTAACTAGCAGCTGCGAGAACAAAGTTACATGTTGACCATCAAAGTTGCCTGATATAAATTGCCAGTGTGGTTTGAAGCACTTTCTGACGCTCACACAGCAGCTTACACTCACACACACACGTACAGTACGACATTGTACAAGTAACAAATTTGTTTTTGTTTTGTTTGTTTTTTTTTTTTTACTGCTAGCACTATAGAGTGAAGCATTGTGGGAAAATGAGTGCTCGGCTGGTCTGTTTTAGCAGCTTCAGCGCTAAACGCCTTAATATCATTAAAATGTTCGGTTTCACAGCTACAGTCGGGAAACAGTCCTCAATCTTCTCTGAAATAGCAGATTTAGCTTCTGCTTACAGGATGTTTAGCACAAACACAATTTTGTATCACAGCTGCAAACTATCATTAATCTGTTAATTGCTGTTATTAAATAATTTTTAAAATAGGGATTAATGAGTTAGGTAAGTAAGTGAATCTATCCTGTCATTTCCAGCTCCATATTTGTATTCCTTGATGTTTCTAGAGCAGCTGTGCATGAGTCACACTTTATAATAATCCTTCTTTAACTTATACTGGGCCATGTCTGAAACAAGCTGTTTTAGCTCCTCCTTAAGACAATGTTCTTCAGAAACCTTGAGGATATTTCCGGCAAAGTAGTCGGAGAAAATGACTG